CGGTCGTAAAAGCTCGGATGGTAGGTGTGTGTGTTGTATGTATGTTTGTATCGAATATTATATATATATACATATATATATTATAATTATATATTTATATATATATATATATATAAATATATATATATATATATATATATATAATATATATATATATATATATTTATATATATATATCTATTATATATATATATATATATATATATATATATAACAGTGGACCCCCGCCATAACGATTTTAAACCGTGCAAGAGGGGTAATTGTTATGCACCGAAATAAATCGGTATGCGGAATGAATGGGACACCCCTAGGCAATCCAGTTTCCACGGCAAACTACGCCACCGCCAAGAAACCTCAAGGGAATGGGATGGACCCCGGTGTCCTTTCCCCTACCTAGGAACTAGCGCGCCTGTGGAAGAAATCACGAAGGCTAAAAAGAGGAAGGGCAAAAGGGAGGGGTGAGGAGGAGAAGGAGGAATGGAAAAAGGGGAGGATGGGGAGGATGGGATAGGGGAGGGGAGAATGGGGGGTAATTAGGTTCGGTCTGAGGAAGAAGACCGACAGGGCTAATTCCTCAGACCAAGAGTGCCGATGTGTAAACATCGCCGAGACCACTAATTTCGCGAGAGCATAATTCCCTAAGTTTTCTATCAAATTTCAAACTTTTGGTGTTATTATGATCGGGAAAAGATTCTCTATCTTTTCTTAAGAGAACTTTTTTTTTTTTTAATTTGACCGACCCTGAGAACAAGTCTCGGAGAGGGCCTGTCGACCCTCAAAGGGTTAAAAGACAAGAGATTTTTACACAGCAGAAGTGATATAAGAATGGCAGAGTATATGAGGAGTAAAGGATAGGTGAAGAAAGAGAGTGGTGAGAGAGTGCAAAAGATAAAGTGGGAGAGGCACTGTCAAGAAATTTTGCTGAGAATAAGAAAAAAATTTAGAGTAAGATAAGTTAAATTAAGAAAACCTAGGGAACGAATGGATTTGTCTGTTAAAAACATAGTAGGGAGTTAGTAGATGGGGAGCTGGAGGTATTGGGTAGATGGCAGGAATATTTTGAGAAACTTTTAACCCTTTCTGGGTTGGTGTCTTACTAGTATGGCTTCCAGGCCAGGGTTGGTGCTGTACTAGTACTCAAATTCTAGCACCTTCAAATCTAGCTAGAGAAAGCTGGTAGGCCTACACATAAAAGAATGGGTCTATGTGGTCAGTGTGTGCAGTATAAAAAAAAATCCTGCAGCACACATTGCATAATGAGAAAAAAAAAATGACCATGTTTTTGGTTTAAAACAGTGACTTTGCAGTGTATTTTCATATGATATTTAGTGTTGTACATTGGTCCCCCATTTTTCGTACTTCCCGACAATCGTAAATTTCGCCAAACATAGGGGTATTTTCGTATAAACATGGACTCGCTTTTCATAGGTTGACTAGCTAGTCGTAGTTCGTCCAAGACGCATACCCACGGCGTGAGCCGGGGCGGCAGCCAGTCTGGCATTGTTTACCAGTGAGCGAAGGTCCCCTCACGTGCTCCAGCGAAATATTTCATAATATTCCATTTATTTTAGTGCTTGCAAGCACTAAATAAGCTACCATGGCTCCAAAGAAAGCTCCTATTGCCAAGCCTGTGGTAAAGAAGGTGAGAAATCGATTAAATTTTAAGAAAACCTTTCATTGAACAATATGAAAGTGGTACAAGTGTGGCCGAACTGTCCGGGAAATGTACAGAAATAAAAAACCCTACACAACTTAATGTTCCATGTGGCCAAGAAAAAGGAAATAAAGGACGCTGTTGTTGCAAAGGGAGTAACTCTGCTGACAAAAATGAGATCACCAGTACTGGAAGAGGTTGAGAAGTTATTATTGTTGTGGAAAATGGAAAAACCCCAATTAGCGGGAGATACTCTTATGACTTCGATTATTTGTGAAAAGGCTAGGCAGTTGCATGAAGATTTGGTAAAGAAATTGCCTGCAAATAGTGGTGATGTGAGTGAATTTAAGGCCAGCAAAGCCTGGTTTGAGAGATTTAAGAACCGTACTGGCATACACAGTGTGGGAAGGCATGGTGAGGCTGCCAGTTCAGACCACAAGGCGGCTGAAAAATATGTGCATGAATTCCAGGAGTACATAGAGGCTGAAGGACTGAAACCTGAACAAGTGTTCATTTGTGACGAAACAGGCCTCTTTTGGAAGAAAATGCCAAAGAGGACCTTCATTACACAAAAGGACACAAGCCTATGAAAGACAGGCTGACGCTAATGTTCTGTGCTAATGCTAGTGGGGATTTCAAAGTGAAGCCATTACTAGTGTACCATTCTGAAAATCCCAGTGTTCAGGAAAAAAATGTTATGAAGAGTAAATTGTGTGTGTTTTGGAAATCTAATAGTAAGGCATGGGTCACGAGGGAAATTTTCGTCGACTGGTTCAATGAAGTGTTTGGCCCTAGTGTGAAGGAGTATTTCCTGGAGAAGAAATTGGATATCAAGTGCCTGCAAGTAATGGGCAATGCACCTGCTCATCCTCCAAACTTGGATGACCTAATTTTCGAGGAGTTTGGGTTCATCACAGTAAAGTTCTTGCCCCCGAATACCACTCCTCTCCTCCAACCCATGGACCAGCAGGTCATTGCAAACTTTAAAAAACTCGACACAAAAGCAATGTTTCACAGGTGCTTGACTGTGACCACAGACACTCACTTGACCCTAAGGGAATTTTGGAGAGAACACTTCAGCATCCTCCATTGCATAACCCTTATAGGTATGGCTTGGGAGGGAGTGACTACCAGGACTTTGAACTCTGCCTGGAGAAAATTGTGGCCAGATTGTGTTGACAAGAGGGATTTTGAAGGATTTGGGACTGACCCTAATGAGCCTATGTCTGTTGTAAAATCAATTGTGGCACTGGGGAGTTCCATAGGGTTGGATGTGAGTTTGGAGGATGTGAGTTTGGAGGATGTGGAAGAATTGGTGGAAGACCAGAATGAAGAGCTCACCACTGAGGAGCTGCAAGAGCTTCAGCAGGAAGAGCAACACATTGCAGCTCAGAATCTTGCTTCAGAGGAGGAGGAAGAGAGATGGAAGAAGGTGCCTTCTTCAGAAATTAGAGACATTTTTACTATGTGGGGTAAGATGGAAAGCTTTATGGAGAAACATCACCCTAATAAGGTTGTTGCAAGCCATGTTGGCAACATGTACAGTGACAAAGTCTTGGGCCATTTTAGGGAAGTGTTAAAGAGACACCAGAAACAGAGCTCTCTCCACAGTTATTTTGCGAGACAGGACTCCAGTGACTCTCAAGGTGGTCCTAGTGACATAAAGAAACAGAGAAGAGAAGCAACCCCAGAAAAGCAAATGGTACCTGAGGTGTTGATGGAAGGGGATTCCCCTTCCAAACTATAAACAATCCACTCTCTCTCCTCCTCCAGTCTCCCATACACTAAGAAGAATCTCCAATAAAGGTAAGTGTTATGCTGTTAATGTTTCATTCATCATTTCCTATTGTATCATGTACTACATGTACAATTCATATAAAAAAATTTTTTGTTTTAATACTTCTGGGTGTCAGGAACGGATTAACTGCATTTACATTATTTCTTATGGGGAAAATTGATTCATAAATCGTAAATTTCGTTTATAGTAACAGCTCCAGGAACGGATTAATTACGAAAAACGAGGGACCACTGTATTTAGTTTTCCTGGTCTCATTTTATAGAATGGAAGACATATTATGAAAATTGATTTGATTTTGATTAGTTTCACAATGAAAAGTACCTTGAAATTGAGCTCAAAGTAGCAGAAATGATCAATTTTTGCCAAAGTTCAAAAGAAAACAAATCATGCCATGCGTCCAATACACATCAACTGGTGAGTCTAATAATTTTTCGCAAGTGCGCTTACATTATTTGTACCATTTCTACACTAATGCAGAAGTCTGCATAACAGTAAATCTTGTATTTTTTGTGAGAATAAAAATTCAAAGGGGAAACCAAAAGAAATGTAACAGAGGCCTGGCGACCTGACTAATGAACAGAGGAAATGTTATTTTAGTGCCAGGAATGTCTGTCTTGTTTATTCTGGACCCTATTTGGAAATTGGCATCTGAAATTTGTGTGAAATCGTCAAAATTGCCAATTTCTGACCACTTTGTTGGATAGTTGAAATCGGTAAATGGGTGGTTTCTTGTACTAATTCTATAGAAAAAATGAATTTCTAGTGAAATAGTTATGTTTTTTGTCAACTGGTAAATTGGAACTGGCCGAAAATAGAGCTCAAAGTGGATGAAATCGCCGATGCGTAAACATCTTTGAGACCGCTAACTTCGCAAGACAATAATTCCTTAAGTTTTCCATCAAACTTCATTATGATCAGGAAAAGATTCTCTATCATTTCAAAGGAAAAAAATTATTTTTTTTTTAAAAAACTTCCAACCCTGAGAACGAGTTTAGGAGAGGGCCTGCCAACCCTGAAAGGGTTAAAAGTCGAAGAAAGGGAGGCAGTAATTTCATGCCCTGGCCAAGGAGGTATAACATCTTTTAACAATGATGAGGAGCAGGACATGAATTAGGGGGAGGTGCGTGAGGCATTACTTAGAATGAAAGGGGTTAAAGCAGCTGGAACTGATGGGATAATGACAGAAATGTTAAAAGCAGGAGGAGAAATAGTGATGGAGTGCTTGGTATTATTGTTCATCCCTGTGAGTGTCACAACCCCAAATCCTTAACCCTTAAATGGTCCAAACGTATATATACGTTTTTTCAACATCTGAAAGTATGTAAAAAAATGTAGATCTTTTTTGTTTTACATTTGAAAACGTGTAGAAAAACTACAGTGGACCCCCGCATAACGATCAGCTCCCAACTCGACCAATTATGTAAGTGTATTTTTGTAAGTGCTTTTGTAGGTGTATTTTTGGGGGTCTGAAACGGACTAATCTAATTCACAATATCTCTTATGTGAACAAATTTGGTCTATAACGGCACATAAACAGACTTCTGGATTGAAATAATATCGTTATCCGGGGGTCCACTGTACTTTTATCTACATTTTTTTTTTGTTATATTTGAAAATAAGTAAAAAAAATTAGATTACTTTTGTAGCGCTATGAATTTGAACGTCAATCTCTTTGGACCGTTTAACCCTTTCAGGGTCCGTCCCGTAGATCTACGGCTTTACGTTCAGGGTCCAAACCGTAGATCTACGCCATGAGCTCAGCTCACTCTGATAAACTGTGAGTGGTACATTTGGGCCTAGATATGAGAGAATACATCTATGTGGTATGTGTGCACCACATAAAACAGATCCTGCAGCACACTGTGTATAATGAGAGAAAAAAAAATGAAATCATGATTTTTCGATTAAAACAGCAACTTTGCAGTGTTTTTTCGTATGTTTTTTATAGATGTATTTGCGAATTCTTGGTCTCATTTGATAGAATGGAAGACATATTACAGAAATAGAGATGATTTTGATTGGTTTTAGCACTGGAAATGGCTTGAAACTGAGCTCAAAGTAGCAGAAATGTTAAATTTTTGCCGATATTCAAGAGTAAACAAACGACCTCACACGTCTAATACACATCAGCTGGTGGGTCTAATATACATTCACAAATATGGTGATGATATTTATACAATTATTACAGTATTGCATAACAGTAAATCTTCTATTTTTTGGTGTGAATAAAAATTCATTATGTGAATAAAAAATCAAAATGGAATTTATTTGTAAAGCCTCAAAACATAACTATTGAACAGAGGAAATGTTAGTTTAGTGCCAGGAATGCCTACATTGTTCATTCTGGACCCTATTTTGAAATTGGAATATTTTGAACTTTGTGTTAAATTGGCCAAATTAACAATTTCCGATCACTTTATTTTGTAGTTGAAACAGTTGACTTGGCAATTTCTTGTGCTCAATCGATAGAATAGAAGTAATACTAGTGAAATAGCTAAGAATTTGGTTGACTGGAATAATGTAATTGGCGTAAAATGGGAGTCAAAGTCGGCAAAATCGCCGATTCGTAAATATCGCTGACACATCAAAATTCGCGAGAGCATAATTTCGTCAATTTTCCACCAAATTTCGTACTTTTTGTTTTATTACCTTCACAAAAAGATTCTCTACGATTTCATAAGAAAAAATAACAAATTTTTTTTTTGAAAATTCTTGGACACTGGTGCGTGACTCCAGATTTGGGCCTTGGACCCTGAAAGGGTTAAGGGTTAAGTGTCTCCTGGTGTCGAGAGAAAAAAAAAAAAAAAAAATCTTATGAAAGGATAGATAATGTTTTCCCGATGGTAATGACACCAAAAGTACGAAATTTTATTGAAAACTTACAGAATTACGCTCCCGCGAAGTTAGCGATCTCAGTGATATATACACATCAGTGATTTTGCTAAATTTGAGCCCTATTTTCATCCAATTCCATTGCTCCAGTTGACCCAACTCATAGCTATTTCTTTAGAATTCTATTTTTTCTATCAATTGAGTACAAGAAACCGTCCATTTACTGAATACAACTACCCAATAAAGTGGTCAGAAATTGGCAATTTGGCCAATTGCATGCCAATTTAAAAAGGTGCCAATTTCGAAATAGGGCCCAGAATAAACAATGCAGACATTCTTGGCACTAAACACATCCTATGTTAATTAGTCACATCTCCAGTCCCCTCTTACATTACTCTCGCTTTCTAGTCTGATTTTTTATTCACACAAAAAATAGAAGATTTACTGTTACGCAGATTACTGCATTATTGTAAAAAATGGTATAAATAATATCAGTACACTAGTGAAAGAATATTAGACTCCCCAGTTGACGTGTATTGGACGTGTGGTGTGATCTGCTTACTCTTGAACATTGGTAAAAATTGAAAATTTCCGCTACTGTGAGCTCGATTTCAAGGGAAATGTGTTCAACGTTCACAAAGGTGCAAGCCGTATTGCCAACATGTACAATGACACTCGTCTCCCATTTTTTGGGGAAATCCTAAGGGCACGTGAGAAACAGAGCTCTCTGGACAGTCATTTTGTGCGACAGGGGTCCAGTGACTCTCAAGCTGGTCCTAGCGGCATTAAAAAACCAAGAAGGGAGGTAACCCCACGAAAGGACTTGGTACCCGAAGTCTTTATGGACAGGGATTCCTGTTCCAAACAACAAAAAACCTGAATCTCCCCTGCTGCTGGCAAATCACTCATCAACAACTCCACAATAAAGGTAAGTGGCATTTAACCCCTTGACTGTCGCAACCCCAAATCCTGAGGCGTCTCCTGGTGTCGAAAAATTTTGAAGAAAAAAAAAAATATTATGAAATGATAAGAGAATCTTTTCCCGATGGTAATGACACCAAAAGAACAAAATTTGATGGAAATCCGACGGAATTACGCTCTCGTGAAGTAGCGACCTTGACGATATTTACAAATCAGCGATTTCGCCCACTTTGAGCCCTATTTTCGGCTAATTCCATTGTTCCAGTCGACCAAACTCATAGCTATTTCTTTAGAACTCCATTTTTTCTATCAATTAAGTACAAGAAACTGCCCATTTACCGATTTCAACTACCCAATAACATGGTCAGAAATTTGCAATTTGGCCAATTTCACGAAAAATAAAAAATATGACAATTTCAAAATAGGGCCCAGAATGCAGACATTCTTGGCTCACCAGTCACATCTCCAGGCTCCTCTGATATTACTCTTGCTATATATTTTGAATTTTTATTCAAACAAAAAATAGAAGATTTACTGTTATGCAAACTACTGCAATATTGTAATAATTGTATAAATAATGTCAACCTATTCATGACTACATAGTAGAATGGCTACTTGGACATTTCTTGGACAATGACATCATTTGTTTACTTTTGAACATCGGCAAAAATCAAACATTTCCCATACTTTGAGCTCCATTTCAAGGTTCTTTTCATTGTAAAACCAATCAAAACGATCGGTTGATTGCTTTCACGACGAAAAGTGCCTTGAAACTGAGCTCAATACAGGAGAAATGTTCGACTGTTTTGGCTATGCTCAAGAGTAAACATTCCAATATGCAGTCGTGAATGGGTTGACATTATTTATACAATTATTGCAATATGCTATTTACATTGTTATGTCATTAGATGAACTGTGATAGATAAATAAGCCATAGAGTTGATGATAGCAAAATATTAAAGAAGTATTTCGTCCTGTCTCCAGACAAACACTCGTCGGTCGCCGCCGCCACACATATAATGACATATTTTATTCATTCTAGAGTATACATCAGGTTTCTGTGTTATTTATACTGTTTGTTATGTCATATTAGATGAATCGTGATAGATAAATAAGCCGCAGACGATATTAGCGAAATTATTCATAAAGTATTTTGCCCTGTCTCCACACAAACTGTCGTCCACCACCAACACCGCCCACACAACATGAATTACATATTTTATTCATTTTAGAGCATATATATCAGGTTTCTATGTTACTTATATTGTTTATTACATATTAGATGAAGTGAGATAGATAAATAAGCCGTAGAGTTGATATTAGCAAAATTATTGAAGCACAGAATTCCACTGGAACGGATTAATTGCATTTCAGTTAATTTAAATGAGGAAAATTGACTTTGCAAACGAGCAAATCCAGTTGTGAGCAAGGTCATGAAATTGGTTAAACTCGCAAGTAGAGATTCCACTCCACTGTACTGAGTTAATTGTTAAAAAAAAAATGATTTTTTTTTTGTGAATATTTTAGTCTCGAACAGATTAATTGAATTTACATTAATCTGTAGGGGAAAAATTATTTCTGTTATCGGCCATTTCGGTTTTAGGCAGAGCTTCTGGAATGGATTACGGCCGATAACCGAGGGTCCACTGTAATAACGAGGAGCTTCAGAACCCCAACAACTCATGGAAGTACAGTGGACCCTCAATCGTAACGCTCGAAAGTCGTAATTTTCGAAAATCGTAACGTTATTTTCATCAAAACATTGACTCGCGAATCATCGTTTGACTCGCAAATAGTCGTTCGTCTGGGACGTGTACACAGCCCCGAGCCTCCTCACACTCCATTCCCAGCCAGTGTGGCATTGTTAATGAGTGAGGATGATCCCATGAGTTCATACGATACATTTCATAATATTTCATTCGTTTTAGTGCATGCTACTGCTAAGTAAGTCACCATGGCTCCAAAGAAAGCTTCTAGTACCAGCCCTTTAGTAAAGAATTTGAGAAACGCATATAATTTAAGAAAAAGTTTGTAGAAAAATACAAAGGTGGTGATGGTAGTGGTAGCAGTTGTGATAGTGGTAGAGGGTGGTAGTGATGGTGGTAGCAGTTGTGATAGTAGTAGACGGTGGAAGTGATGGTGGTAGAAGGTGGTAGTGATGGTGGTAGTGGATGTGATGGTGGTAGTGGTTGTGATGGTGGTAGAGGGCGCCTTCTTCAGTGATTCAGCGATTCTACCAACTCCTCCAATGTTATTTTTTTTTTATTATCACACTGGCCGATTCCCACCAAGGCAGGGTGGCCCGAAAAAGAAAAACTTTCACCATCATACACTCCATCACTGTCTTGCCAGAAGGGTGCTTTACACTACAGTTTTTAAACTGCAACATTAACACCCCTACTTCAGAGTGCAGGCACTGTACTTCCCATCTCCAGGACTCAAGTCCGGCCTGCCGGTTTCCCTGAATCCCTTCATAAATGTTACTTTGCTCACACTCCAACAGCACGTCAAGTATTAAAAACCATTTGTCTCCATTCACTCCTATCAAACACGCTCACGCATGCCTGCTGGAAGTCCAAGCCCCTCGCACACAAAACCTCCTTTACCCCCTCCCTCCAACCCTTCCTAGGCCGACCCCTACCCCGCCTTCCTTCCACTACAGACTGATACACTCTTGAAGTCATTCTGTTTCGCTCCATTCTCTCTACATGTCCGAACCACCTCAACAACCCTTCCTCAGCCCTCTGGACAACAGTTTTGGTAATCCCGCACCTCCTCCTAACTTCCAAACTACGAATTCTCTGCATTATATTCACACCACACATTGCCCTCAGACATGACATCTCCACTGCCTCCAGCCTTCTCCTCGCTGCAACATTCATCACCCACGCTTCACACCCATATAAGAGCGTTGGTAAAACTATACTCTCATACATTCCCCTCTTTGCCTCCAAGGACAAAGTTCTTTGTCTCCACAGACTCCTAAGTGCACCACTCACTCTTTTTCCCTCATCAATTCTATGATTCACCTCATCTTTCATAGACCCATCCGCTGACACGTCCACTCCCAAATATCTGAATACGTTCACCTCCTCCATACTCTCTCCCTCCAATCTGATATTCAATCTTTCATCACCTAATCTTTTTGTTATCCTCATAACCTTACTCTTTCCTGTATTCACCTTTAATTTTCTTCTTTTGCACACCCTACCAAATTCATCCACCAATCTCTGCAACTTCTCTTCAGAATCTCCCAAGAGCACAGTGTCATCAGCAAAGAGCAGCTGTGACAACTCCCACTTTGTGTGTGATTCTTTATCTTTTAACTCCACGCCTCTTGCCAAGACCCTCGCATTTACTTCTCTTACAACCCCATCTATAAATATATTAAACAACCACGGTGACATCTCCAATGTTGTTGGAGTTATATAGAGCTACAGAAAACACCGCCACCTCAGCTGCTGCTTCACCACCATTATGGACGGCTTACTCTCAGTGGCCCTTATACACCCAACAACATAACACAACACCTCTCGTGACATACATAATGACTTATTTCTTCACTTTAGAGTATATTCCATGTTTCTATGTTATTAACCCTTTGACTGTTTCGGTCGTATTTATACACGTAAATTCTAGCGACTTCAAATCACGCCGGAGAAAGCTGGTAGGCCTACATGAGAGGGAATGGGTATGAGTGGTGGGTGTGCACCCTGTGAAAAAAATCTGGGACTCAGTGGTGCATTGTGGGAATGCCATCTTGGTAGTCCATTTTCACCATGCGTCCCAGCAGGAAGCACCTCACTCCTCGGTGGGATTGGAGATCTTTTGTTCCCAAATGGTAGCTCTAACAGCGATGAAAGTGTCAGTGTAAGTGAATTCCATGGTTTTCAAGCGGGTGTGACCAAAAACAGTGCCCAGGATAACGTAATTAGTTATGAAAACCCAGATGACCCATGGCTTTCCACCTCTGGTGCTGGGCCGGCTCGTTCACGTTCACCTGTATTAGGACGAAAGAGGAAACTATTTGCCCGTGTACAAGGCTCGGATGTGAGCAGTGATAGTGATTTCAAAGCTATTGAAAGCAGTTCTAGTTTTAACAGTG